GTACATTAGCTTGATATTGTTGTAGCAAATTATAAACTTAGAATTTTGAATCCACCTTCATCCGATTACCATATATTGGAGGTGAGAGTTTTTTAAAAAATCATCTATGCATAGAACTTAAAGTTTAAGTAAAAAAAGTATAACATATAATTGTACCTTAAATTACATTAATGCAACAGAAAAAATATATTTATGTTATGTGCATAGAACTTGTCATGTATTTACCTTAGAGGTCACATTGAGGATATTCCATTTAAAAAAATGTACGGAAAATGTATTTACCTTAGAGAAAGAGAAAATAGAAGGTGTTTGTCTGAAATAATATATCATATGATTACTATATATCAAATGGTCACTAAATTATTTGTAGTTTTCTTAGAAAGTCACTTAACTTTATTTTATAATTCAAAGTTTACTCAATTAAGGGTAATTTTCTGAGAGATTAAAGTCACTCAATTTTTTATATTTCACCTAGAAAGTCACTCAATTATTTATATTTCACCTAAAAAGTCACTCATAAATTTAAATAATTTTTTAATTAAATTTTGTTGAAATGAAATCTTCATTTAAAAAAATAAAAAGATACTTATTAAAACCATTTAATTGAACCATTATGGGCACCTTAATCCACATAAAACGTATACTTATAAAAACAATTTTTACGCTACACAACTTTTCAGAAATTAAAAACAATTTTTTTCTGGATAATGCGTTCAAAAATGGTCCCACAAAAAACGCATACTTCTACCGAATACAGTAAAATCATACTAAATTAATACTCGGTAAATTAATAATATTTCTAAGATAATATTTTCCTCCGATTTCAACTTGGGCCAATGGAAAAAACATACACATTTTGATAAGATAATAAAATGATATATTTTTAGAAGACTACTTTATAAATATACTGTCTCATTAATATTATTAATTAATATTTCTTTAAAAGTACAAATATATCTAAGACAATTTAGTAAAATATGATTTTATAGTATTTTGTTTTATTTGTTAAAAATTTAAATCTAGTTGAAGTTCATCTCTAACTTTCGTTATTGCATCTAAGAATTTCGAGTTGTCTTTTCGAACTGCACCATAAAATTGTGAAGAGTTCTAGATGCGATAAGTGTTTCCTTACGCGTCACTGGTTCCAAAGGTATTGTATCATCTTCAACTTCATCATCAACATTGTTATTTTTTCGATGGTATCCACAATTTCTTCTAAACTCTAGACCTCTGAACATGTATCATTTTCATTCGGATAATCCAACAAATTATTGATGTCCATTTTATTGTGGTAACCGAGATCATTAATCATGAATGATGTTTTTACAACTGGGTTCATTCAAATTCTCTGAGACGATTTTATCCCCCAAACAAATTTTGTAGTGTCAAAAACTATTTACTAATGTCTCTTGCTAAACATTTGTTGTCCAAGCCGAGGTTGCAAAATTGATAACATTCAAACATATAGCAATTTAATATCATACGATAAAATTTGTTGTGATAATACATCTTAAAAGCTTTTATTATTCTAACATCACAAGGTTGAGTCTCAAACACTCTTTAAATTAATAAATATTAATTTATCGATTAAATAATATCTCTATAAAATAATAATATTTTATGTCTTACTTATATTAATTTAGTGGGGTTTTACTGTAATTTACCCTACATAACTTTTCACAAAAAATAAATTAATTATTTCTGTGTTCTCAAATACAAATAATTAATCATACTATCGAACCATTAAATTAATCAAGCTAAATCAATAAAATAACTTTTCACCATTTAGACATTTTCTAGGAATAAGAATAGTTACTTATATTTTTTGAAATTTAAATTTAAAATAATTATTGAGGCATTTTGTCACTTGGCAAGTTTTTTTAAAATTTATTTTTGAGAAAGGTTATGTTGAGTAAAAATTTCTCTATAAGTATGTTTTTTTCCTGAATTAATCCATCATGATTCAATAAAATGGTTTAAATAAGTATCGTTAATTTTTTTTTAACTCTTTTAGCTTAAAATAAAAAATTGTTGCTACGAAATTTAATTAAAAGTAGTTTAAATTGATTGAGTGACTTTCTTAGTGAATAGTTAATAGTTAATAGTTGAATAAGTTTTAAGTTATAAATAAAATTGAGTATAATTTAATGACCTTTTAAAAGAACTATTCATAGTTTACTAACTAAACATTATCTCATGTTATTTTTGGTGAAGGTGAAGGATACAATGACTAAATGTGAAAAGTTATTCAAGTTTGGCCTAGTGATTCATGTAATTTTAAAAAAAATCTATTTCTAAATATGTATAACAACGATAGTTATTTATCCTTAGTGTCTTTGTTTGACATAAATTTTTGTATTGTAATACTCCCTCCTCCATTCATTTTTATTTATACACTATTGATTCGCTTAAAGAGTAATAAATATAATAATAATTTTATTATATTATTTTTTGAATATAATAAATTAACTATTCTGACAAATGCATTAGCAAAATAATTTATTTGTTAATAATAAAGATAAATTAATAAGTAAATAATATATTTTTTTAATTATCAAACTAAATAAGTAAAAAATAAATATCTATTATAAATATAGTAGACAAAAAGAAAATGAACGAAAAAATATTTCAAAATAATATCCTATGATAAAGTCATTTGGTGCTGACACTAGGCCCATGTCATAGTGACCTTCCAATAATTAATCAGTCTATAGGGTTGATAATAATTACTTGTGTTTAAAAAAAAAGTGATCTAGTTTGACTTGGTAGAGTTTAAAGAAAATAAAGAAGATTTTTAAATTTTGTGGTTTTAAATTAAAATTATGTCAAATATACACAATTGTCCTTTAATCTTGTAGCCTTAAATATGCAACGTGGAAAACTGAAATTAAAATGTTACCAAAAAAGAGAAAAAATAATTCTTTTTAAATAAACTAAAAAAAAAATAGATCATTCTTTTTTAAATAAATAGAGTACCGAATATAGAGAAAAAAATTACGATAATTAATAAAATAGAGAAGTAAAGATAAAAAGGCCACTGCAAAAAGTTGTAGTGTTGATGGGACAAGCAGAACGACGAAAAGTTCTGTAAATGGGGAGTGGGGAACAAAGCAATATTTCGTGCAAATCCCAGAAATGTCATTATGATTTACAAATATATTATGGGTCCATTTTTATTTATCTATTATATTAAAAATAATTGTTTAATAATATTTGTTAAATTTAAAAAATTAAAGAAATAATTTATTTTTTTGTATCTATTTTATCCTTGATATTAAATATTATTTCCTCTTTCCCAGTTTATATGACTTACTTTCTTTTTTAATCGATCCTTAAAAGAAAGTCATAATTCTATATTAAGTAACAATTTAATCTTAAATGTCTATTTTACCCTTAATGAAAATGATTTATAGCACACAAAATCATTCATTTTAGACTATACATTTAAAAAGTTTTATTTCCTTTCTTAAACTTTGTATCAAGTCAAAGTATCTCACATAAAATGGAACGGAGAGAGTATTTAATATCTAATACATTTCCCAAAATATTAAATTTAATATATTCAAAAGGTCATATAATACTCCCTCTGTCCAACAATAGTTGTCCACTATATTATTTTGGAATGTCCAACAATACTTGTTAACTTTATGAAATCAATGGATAATTTTACATTTAGTTCCTAATTTTTCCTTATCATTAATATAGTCGTTTCCCTATTAAAATTTTCAAGACATTATATTTATTAGGAGTATATTAAAAGGATGATATAATAAAATTACCATTCTATTTATAGTTTTTTAAGGGGTGTGTCGAGTTAATAGTGGATAACTATTGTTGGATCTAGAGAGTAATATTATCCATATTATTTATTATTGAAAAAAGGATAAATATATCCCGAACTATCTGAAATGGTATGCAGATACCCTTTGTCATACTTTTGGGACATTGGTGCCCCCGCCGTTCAAAAACTAGAGCATATATACTCTTTATACTAACAAGCATACACGTGCCATAATCTTATCCATCGATCCGATGTCAGATCGATGAATAAGATTGCGCCACGTGTCCCTATTTAGTCATCCGTTCGAGTGTAGGGCATATATGCTCTAGTTTTTGGACGGCAGATGCATCAATGTCTCAAAAGTATAACGGAGGATATCTGCATACCATTTACGATAATTCGGAGGTATATTTGTCTTTATTTCCTTTATTATTTTGTCAAGTCAATAGAGTAGTGAACAACAATTATTGAACTGAGGGAATATTTACCAGAAGGTTTGTGCTTTATTACTCTCTCCGTTTCTATTTATATGTCACTATTTAAATTTCACGTCCCTTAAAATTTTATGTAAGTTTACCATTATACCCCTATTTAGTATACTCTTGAAGTCAAGTTTCAATAAATGAACATAAATTAATTTATATTGATTAATTAAATTGACCAGTGGACATGAATTAATCATTTAGTTTTCCTATATTGGTCAAATTCAGACTAATAACTTTCAAAGATAAAATAGGAAGAATAGTGTCATTTATGCATTGACTTTGTGAAATGACAAATATTAAGAATCACCTAATTTTTTTTATGAACGACATATAAATAGGAATGGAGAGGTATCATTTATGTATTAATTCTTCTATTCTATATTAAGTATATCTAGATTTCTTTTTATTGTTCAAAATTTAAAATAAATATTTGATTTTTTTTTTCATATTTGTCTTACCTTTAATGAAGTTCTACATTTTTTTCAAACCTTCTTAAGTAATAACTATCTACTTTTAAGATTAACTAGAAAATAATCAAAAGAGCAATAGTAAAAAATGTAATTTTAAATTATGTTCTTGAACATTTTTTTTAATGGGTATGCATTACCTGAAAAATTTACTTAATAAGAAATGTAATGAATAGAGATAGATAATAATAATAATAATAAAAAAGTTACACCAGCAATTCATCCATACAATTATTGTCATTTAGAGAGAGAAAGAGAGATGTGTACCTTAATGAGAGGGGAAGATTGGGAAACAATTGGGGTTTTCTCAAATGGATAGGAAGAGTGACCATGTAAAGTTTGCCTATCCAGCTGTTTATGTTTTGTTCATCATATGACACTAAAACCTGTCCATATCCTTCCATACTTCCTTCAATTTGGCCAAACTTTTTCTTCTCTTCCATAGGTAGATTGAAGAATCGTTGGACTTCTAACTTCATTTTTTCTAATAGTGAACAACTCACTCCATGATTCATCATCTAAATATAAAAGTCATAAAAATTACTATTTTTATTAGACAAATGTTTAGTAGTTATTTTTATAAATATTTTAGTAAATGGCGCAAATTAAGGGCCGTTTGATTATAGATTTTTCAAGTAAAATTTGGCCTAAAATTTGACAAATAGTATTTGTCCATACAATTTATCGTTATTTGGTAAATATTTTTGGCAAATAACCCAAATTTCCAAACACTAGAAAAAATTAGTATTTGGGCCACTTCTCATTATTTGAAAACTTTTAACAATTCAAATTTTGAATCAAACTTTTATCTTTTACAAGAACACCCTTTATAGTAGTTGTTTGCATTGTTTTACATAATTTTTTATGTGAACATCAAAGTAGTAATGGAATATTCAGTAAAATATGAAACTGATGATATGATTGTTGATGAAAATGATAACAATCGGCTTAGGGTAACAAAGTCACGTACTATGTAATACAAACATATGGTTAGTTTTGATAGTTTTTAAAATTTATGGATATAAATCACATTTTTTTAAAAAGGTGAAATATATTTTCCAAATACTATGCCAAACACATGGTGAAAATTTAACCAAATAATATTTGCCAAAAATATTTGAAAATCTATAACCAAACACTAGCTAATAGTTTTATCTTTGAACCATTCACAACTTTAATAACATCCTTTTATTTGATTAACTGAACTAATTAAATACATTTCGATCTTACGACATGAGTGAAATACACCTTTAAATTCTCGTCAAGTTTAGAGGTATTTTCAACATTTCTCTCGACCTTTTATTAAGAGTTTCATGTTTCTACAAGAGTTTTGAGACCAATACTTGTTATGTTCTGTGGCAGATCAAGGGTGTAGCTATGTTTAGTTAGTCAAGTAGAATTGTTATGTTTTTAAAATTGTCAATAGTTCGAGGACGAAATTAATAACTTGTGGCAAGTTTTGGAGTGTTCAATATTTTTCCAAAAAAAAAATAGTACTTCTAATTATTTCACGTAGATAAATTAGTAAGTTTCCTACTAGAGAATTAGTTTCATTATGCATTTTTCAGTGTGCTGATTTAGGAATTTCACAAAAAATTATGTTATTATAATAGAATTTTAAAAAAATATTCTAGTAGCTAGTGTATAAACCTTCAAAGGATTGAATGAATTATGAATGAAATTAACTTTAAAGGAGAGCTGGGTTAAACATGTAAACCAACAAGACATCAATCAAATAACTACTTTTTTTCTCATATTAAAATGTATATATACCTGAAAGAATCCCCAATCTTTGCAAGCAAGATGAAGTTTGTCAAGTTCTGAATGATCATTAGCCAACAACAATTCCATATCAATTACTGGAATTTGAGACAACATGGAAGGTAATAAATTGGAAGCTATTGGTTCCTCTTGATCATGGCATACATATGTTCCTGGTGTATCCATGGCTATGCTGTTTCAAGCTCTTTCTTTGGAGGCCAAATTATATTATAAGTTTTCATCTAATTTTTAAAGAATTTAACTATTGATTGGAAAGTCATCGTCACATCAGCCTGCACCAAACACTTGTATATGGCGCACTTTGACATCAAGTGGAAATTTAATGCTTAAATTCGTTTAAAAAAATAAGATTTATTTTTCTTTTTAGTATGTTTTTAAAAAATGATATTTTTTGGTAATATTTTAATTTTAGTTTTTCACGTGGTATGTTAAAGGTGACAAGATTAAAGGACTGTTTAGGACATTTGATAGTATAACTTTAATTTAGAACCACGAGATTGAAAAATCTTTTTTATTTTATTAAACTTCATTTCAAATTACCCCCTCCCTCCTTTTAAAAAAAATGATTTCACACCCCATGTTTGATGTCTGTATTGAAATCTAACTATTCAGGATTGTGTCTGGATTCACGTCACGTAAGACCCCATTCAGAGAGAAGCGCTCCCTATATAGTATTTTTTCATATCCACGGCTCGAACTAAAGATCTCTGATGAAAGAAGGAGCAACCTTGTTGGTGGTTCCTCCCTCCTATTTACTTGAGCAAAATAAGAAAAAATCATCTTAAAGCAAGTGTAGTCTCAGAAATTTAAGATAAAAATTGTATAGTTTTCCAACTATAATCTTTTATTCCATATTTTAAATAATGTTTAATTCTCAAGAAATATTTATTAAATAGAAATAATGCAATAAATTATACATTGTAATTATTATCATATTTTTAATAGACATGACTTTTACAAAAATAAGGTCTATTCTATGATAGTGAAAATAAGAAAAAACACGCAAAATGGAAAATGAAAAACAAGTAGACTCCATCGTTTTCTACCTTTCAAAACAATTACATAATCTACTAGATAAAGTATAATGGAAGAAATGTCGTAACTTAAACATTACCTTTGACTTGGGGTGTGTTTGGTACGAACGAAAATGTTTTCCTAGAAAATGTTTTCTTGAAAATTAAGTGGATTTTAATTTATTTTCTCATGTTTGGTTGGTGAGTAGAAAATATTTTTTAATGTTTGGTTTGTGAATGACAAATATTTTTCAGAAAATATCTTTTATTTTTGGCTTGAGACTAAAAAGTACTCTTTAGGAAAATAATTTCTGATTCGAAAAATAATTGATCTAGGACCCGACCCCAATACCCAAACTAGGACAAGGACCCTGATAACCATTCAAAAATTCAACCCTGAGATTTGACCCAGGACCTGACCAAACTTTCGACCTAGGATTATTTTTAAAGTAAATTTATCACTAGACAATGTCTAGCGGCCTTATATTAAACATAAAAAATATCAATAGGGACAAGTACAAGCAAGGGGGGCTAGGCCTTACCTTATCAATAGAATTTTCTTTTCAAAAACCATTTTTTTTTAAAAAAATTGATGGGGTCGCGGGGTGGGGGGTGGGAGCGGCTGGGGTTAGCATAAAAATGATTTTTTTAAAAATTTGAAATATTTTTCAAAAACATTTTTTTAAAAAAAAGGGTGGGGGTAGGGGTGGGGTTGGTAATTTGAAACATTTCCCAAAAACAGTTTTTTTTTCTTTAATTTGTTTTGACGGGAATGGTCTGGGTAGGGGTGGGAGTAGGGGTAGGGGGTGGCATAAAAATGGAAAGAAAAATTAAATTTGAAATAATTTCCAAAAACAGTATTTCTTTTTAAAAAAAGTTGATGGAGATGGCGGCTGGGGGTGGGGTAAGGATTGGGGTGGCATAAGAAATGAAATTTTTTAAAATTTGAAATATTCTTCGAAAACAACTTTTTTTTTTTGTAAAAAAAATGACGGTGTGGATAAAACAAATTTGAAATATTTCCCAAAATATTTATTTTTTTTTAAAAAAATTGATGGGGGTGGCGGGGGAGTGACGTAAGAAATAAAAATAAATTAAATCTGAAATATTTTTCAAAATGATTTTTTGGAAGGGTGGGGGTAGGGAGTAGGGTTGGTAGGGGTTGGGTAAGGTAAAAAAAATCTTAAATTTGAAACATTTTTCAAAAATAATTTTTATTGTTTTTTGTTTGAGGGGAGTGGGGGTTGGGTTAGTGGTAGGGATAAAAATATACTTGAAATTTAAAATATAAGAAAATTTAAATTTTTTAAATTATTTTTTGAATGGGGAGGGTCGGGTACGGGGTATGAGTAGGGTAAGAAAAAAAAAGGATAAAGTAGAGTTTTGGAAAATGTTTTCCTCAATTTTGGAAGGGAAGTTATTTTCCTTAAATTTGAGGAAAATGAGTTGATTTGGAAAACAGTTTCCAAACATGGAAAAATTGAAAAACATTTTCCAGAAAATGTTTTCCTCCGTACCAAACACACCCTAAATTTACAAATCAGAACATGACAATAGAAAGAAAGAAAGATAAATCCCCCCGTATGTAATTGTGAGATTAATTAAATAATGTTTTGACATTACAAGAAATTAGCCAGGCTCTTTTATGTGACTAAAAGTTGTTGGCTAATGTTGCGAAAATATCCTTAGCATAGAGACAATAGTATTGCCATAAGAATTTCTGATTTTAGTGGCGCATTTAGTTGCCTCAAAACCCTTTCTTTCAACGACCTTTATCGTAATCAATTTGTATGGGGCAAACTCGAATTTAGTAAAAGGAGTGAACCACATCATGATATGTGTCTAAATCGAATACAAATAAATGTATGTGGAAACTTGAAGAGAATGAAAGATTCCATCCTTGATAAATCACTAAGAGCATCGAACGCCAACTCTTGTAAGAGTGACAAGTGACCGAGCATTTGAAAGAAGTTTCACCCATGGAAAACCATCTTACAGTTGGAGGTGATCATATTGACCCTCGGGAGCTCAACAATCAATCTTGAACTATACGTCCACCTTCTCCAATCAGCTTTAGGTGAAACTTTATACTATTAGCACATGCTATAAGATATAGACTTTTCAGTGCCAAATCATGTCGTCTTTAGTTATTAAGGCGATAACCATGACTTTGGCATTTTAGCTTAAAGGGAGTGAACTTGATCAGTCTTAATTCATTTGCCTTTAGCCTCTTTACACAAATCTTATTGTTCATCTCAAAAGCTTAAGATGGACAAGACATAAGAACATGTATGCATCCAAATTTTGTATTTTTCTAGTTTATCGCATCATTAAACAAAAATTGTATTGTGTATCTGCACATAAATGCCCAACTTTATAATAATAGCAAATAGCAAATAACAAATAATTATTCTTCATATGATATACGTGTAAGTCCATAAATTCTAAAAAATTATTGACGAAAATTAATTATCAATTAAAATCAATCATGCTCTGATACCATATATAACTTAATTTAATTTACATCAGTATTATGAATACGATAATTTAATGAAAAAACATTACAAAATATATCTAAATCGGAAAACACTATCACAAGAGAAAACATTAATTGAAATTAGTTTCTACCTCCTTGCCTTAATCTTACGTTACCACAATCGTCGTATGCGATGAAAAAAGTGTAGAGAATATATGGTAACCTTCATGATTGGAGAGAAGGTCAATTTATAAAAATTGTAACTTATATTAATTAATATGATACGTCTATTAAATAATCATATTTAATTGATGAGATTTACACTTCACTAAGATTTGATTAATGGTTTTGACTAAGGTAAGTTCTAGTTATCTTTCTAGGCTTAAACTAACTAAAACCTCATAATTTAGGGTCTAAACGACGTAGTTTAGGGGTTCAACGCATTGGGAAAAGACCAAAATGACCCTGACTAAAAAGCTGTCGGGACCAACTGACGGACTTGAACCACAGTTCGTAGGTCCTGGCCGTGGGTCCTGATTTTTTTTCTGCGGACCACGTTTCACTGACTTGGTCCACAGGCCGTTGTCCAATCTACGGTCGAGGTTTTCTGGTTTTTTTCTTCTGTGGACTACGTTCCACGGACCGTGGTCTAACCTACAATCCGTAGGTGGCACATGCACTTCTGGAAATCTGCATTCTGGTCTATCTAAGATACGGGGTGTTACATTATCTCCCCCTTGGGAACATTCGTCCTCGAATGAAGACTAAACTAGCTGGAATGGAGGGAAAGAGCTTCAAACCCTACCACTAAATACTGAAAACTGATTTTTGACTGAACTGAGTTCCAAAACATGCAAATACGCTGAAAATGCAAGTACAAACTGAAGGAACATGCTACTAAGAGTGAATCTACACATGAATGACTGAAAAACTGAAGAGGAACTATTACCTCTAGCTGGAGTGGAATCGGAAGGAAAGAGGTGAGGATACTTGGCTTTCATGGCTGCTTCTGCTTCCCAAGTAGCTCCCTTTATGGAATGACTCCTCCACCAAACCTTGACTGAAGCGACTTTCTTGTTTCTCAACCTTCTAACCCGACGATCAATAATCTCAACTGGTACATCCTCATAAGAGAGGCTATCTTTTACAGCCACACTCTCTAATGGCACCATGGATGCTGGATCACCCACACACTTCTTCAATAGTGAAATGTGAAAGACTAGGTGCATTGCTGCTAAATCTGCTGGCAACTCTAGCTCATAAGTCACTTTACCAATCCTTTTCAAGATACGGTAAGGGCCTACGTATTTGGGACTGAGCTTTCCTTCTTGCCAAATCTCATCACCCCTTTCATAGGTGACACTTTTAGGAAAAACCATTCATCAACTTGGAACTCTAGTTCCCTTCTCCTTACATCTGCATAAGACTAATGGTGACTCTGGGCTGTCTGAAGTCTATCTATAATGAGTTGCAGTTTCTCCATAGAATAAAAGACTGAATCTGGCCCTATCAAGGCTGCTTCACCTACTTCAAACCAACCAACAGGAGATCTGCATCTACTCTCATACAATGCCTCATAAGGGGCCATCTGAATGCTAGAATGGTAACTATTGTTGTAGGCAAACTCTATAAGAGGAAGGTGATCATCCCAACTACCCTTGAAATTGATCACACAAGCTCTCGACATGTCTTCTAAGGTCTGAATGGTACGCTCTGCCTGACAATCCGTTTATGGATGAAATGCTGTGCTAAGATTAACCTGAGTACTAAGACCTTTCTGAAATGACTTGC